AAGTGTTAGGACACCTCCCTCCATGACCGGGCCCCCCTGGAGTTTTTGACTCTCAGACTTGTCCACACTGAGCCTTCAGCAATTCATAAATTACAGTTCCCATAGATGTTTCTGCTCCAGTAAATTGTGATTCTCTATATCTGCCTGTCCAATTTAGGGAGCAGTTGGTTTGTCCTGTGATCTCACATCTCCTATGGGTCTAAGAAGAGTTGTTGATTTTGTTCAGCTTTTTACTTATTGTTACGATGGAATGGTGACTTCCAATCTCCTTACGTGCTAGACCAGAAATGGGAAGTATAAGGGAATATATTCAAATCCATGCTAATAAATTCAACAACTTAGATGAAATGGATGATAAAACTAAAAGACATAAAGTACCAAACTGAGTAAGAAATATAAAATATGACTTCACTGTGAGTTATATATACCATTTAAAAAGAAAAAAATTCCAATCCTGTGCAAACTCCTTCAGAGAATAGAAGAGAAGGGAATAGTTCCCAGCTCACAAAGCCAGCATTCCCTTGATCCAAAACCAGACAAAAACATTATAAGGAAACTACAGACCAATATATATAATAAGAATAAATATAAAAATCTTCTATAAAAAGCAAATTAAACAATATATAGAAAAGACAATACATCATGAACAATAGGGTGTATTTCAGAAATATAAGGTTGATTGAACATCAAAAATCAAATCAAACTATATACTTTAAATAGGATGTGAACTTAATAAAGCTGTTATTTAAAAAAATCAATATAATGCACCACATTGATAAAATAAATGAACATTTCAATAGCTGCAGAAAAAGCAGTTGAGAACATGGAACATCTAAGATTAAAAACTCTCAGAAAACTAAGAATAGAAGAAAGCTTCCTCAACCTGATACAGGGCATGTATAAAAAAGACTACAGTTAATATATCTTAATGGTGAAAAAGGAAGGTGCAAGGCAGTGCAAAAGATTACAAAAAGAAAGAAAAAGTATAAAAATTGGAAAGTAAGAAATAAAACTGTTTTTATTCTCAGATATCATGTTCAAGCACATTAAAAGATCTTGTAAATTTACAAAAAATCTATTAGAGCTCGTAAGTCAATTTTGCAATATCCCTGGATATAAGGTTAATATACAAAAATCGATCGTGCTTCTACATACTAGCAAGAAACATGTAAAAAATGAAAATCACTCCATTTGTAACACTTACACACTGAAAGTCACAAAACATTACTGAGAGAAATTTCATAAAGAAGCTCTAAAGAAATGCAGAGATATATCATAATTTATGGACTGGAACACCCAATACTGTCACGATGTCAGTTCCTCCCAAGCTGATCTATAGCTTCAACACAATGCTAACCAAAATACTTTTTTATTTTAGAAACTAAAAACTGATCCTAATATTTATGTGAAAATGCAAAGTCCTTAGATAACCAAAACATTCTCGAAATAGAAAAACAAAGTTGGAGGACTTCTACAACTTTATTTCAAGACTTTCTATAAAGCTAAGGTAATCAAGAGAGTATGAAGATAAATTTACAATGGAATAGAACTGAACTGAGAGTCTGGAAATATATTCACCCTAATAGGGCTGATTTATATTTTTTAAATCAAGGTTTCAAAATAGAAAATTGGAGATCAACGGAATAGAATAGAGTCCAGGGAAGACACATGCACATAGGGTAGTTTTTTTTTTTTTTAACCCAGGCATTAAAATATTTAATAGTATAATGAAAAAGGAAAACCTTTTCAACAAATAGTGCTGCAACAACAGGCTATCTTTATGAAAAAAATAAACCTGAATCTATACTTTATATCATATCC